CACTACCACTTGTATCCTTCATTGGGATCCCCATACAAGGGCCTGAACATAACAGGGGCCGGGGAGCGGGGAACAGATCAACATTCAATAATGAAAAAGACCACTTTATTAGTCTAATAGAGATTGGTGGAACATCACAAATTACGGCCCTTAAAATCCACTGCTGTTGGGTCAATTCCGACAAAGAGCTACCCGATAGTAGAGTACAGAACTGTTCTTTCGGGTTTCCAAGACAGTACATCGTTACAGGGGCACACAACTTCATCTTTCTTTTTCCTGCAGTGTGGCTGGTGGGTTTGAACCACCGACTTGGTGGTTAGCAGCCCGGTTCCTGACCCAGTGCACCACTAGGGCTCCTCCTACGGCCATTCAACACTCTTCTACCTGGAACTAAACCCACCCCTGTAGATCCACTCCCATAGATAATGTTCAGCCAAATAATAGACAAGTCTATGAAATGAACAATAAATAACTCCTCCTGTGAGGAACGTGTTCCTCACAATCAACTATATGGGACCAAAAGGGCAGTATTTGCCCAAAAACTTAAGTTCAGGAGGCAGAAGGGGCAGGAGAGATAGGCAAATGAAACCCCACAGAAGAACTGGGGAGAGAGTTGTTACATAGATGAGATTGCAACTAATGTCATAAAACAAAAAGCGTAAATTGTGGAATGGAAAACGGTTTTATAATCTTTCGCCCAAACCACAATAAAATGTTTAAATAGAAAACCTTAACAATCTTCTCAATAGTTGCTGATAAAAGCAGTTGAGAAAATTCAATACCATTCCTAATAAAAACTATTGTCAGACTAGAATTTGAAGGACCTTCTTCAACCTGATACAATCCTGTGCCTATAGATGGCACAGCAAAAACGAAACAGACTCACACCATGGAATCAATTTCAACTCAGAAAGGTCATATAGGACAGACAAGGACTACTGTTTCTGAGGCTGCAGATCTTCATGGGAATAGAAAGTTACCTCTTTCTCTCTTGGAATGGCTGGTTTTGAGCTGCTGCCCTTGGAGTTAACAGCCCAATATGAAACCCACCCCACCACCAGGGCTCCTACCCAATACACGGCATCATGCGAGTTACATCATCGTTTGTGGCTGGATGCTGTTCCGTTGGCGTCAGCTCCTAGTCACTTGTGTACAAGAGAACAAAATGTTCCCCAGCCTCTGTCATCTTCGATTGCTGGTGGGTTTCAGTCTCTAGTTATGGGGCCCTTCATTTTCACTGATACTCCACTTTATGAAACATAAAGGCCATCTCTAACACCTGGCCTTTATGCATGTCGTATCCAAATGAAGAAGTTACAGTTTCTCATCCTTGAGTCTAAGAACCATTCCAGTTGTATTTCTTCTAAAATTGATTTTTCCATTCTTTGGTAGTCCATTGCATAGTCACTATTCTTCACCAATACGTTATGAATGTATCAATTCTTCTTCCGCCTCTTCTTTTTCACTCTCCAGTTTTTGCAAGTATATGAAGCATTAAAACTACCATGGATTGGATCAGGCACACCCTAGTCATTAAAGTGACATCCTTGCATTTTGAAACATTAAAGAGCTCTTTTGCAACAGATTTGCCAATGCAATAGGTCATTTGATTTCTTGACTGCTTCCCTCGACACTAATTGTTGGTCCAAATAGAATGCAATCATTGAGGGCAATGAATGTACAAATGCGCTTTACACAATTGATGTATGGATGGATTGTGATAAGAGTTGTATGAGCCCCTAATAAAATGATTAGAAAAAAAAAGAAAAGAAAAAAGAGGCCCTGATGCCAGGGGCTTAAGTGGAGAGCAAATGTTTTGAGAATGATGAGGACAATGAATGTACAAATGTGCTTTACACAATTGATGTATGTGAGGATTGTGATGAGTCGTATCAGCCCCTAATAAAACGATTTTTAAAAAAAATAATGCAATCATTGACAACTTCATTTTTTCCCAATTTCTCATGATGCTGTTTATCCAGTTAGTTGGGAAGATTTTCAATAGTAAAAATGAATTGCTTCCCCCTTAAGACCAAAGGCAAATTGATGATGTCTGTTCTCACCCCTTCTATTCAACATTATCTTGAAGGTCCTAATGATTTATATGAGATATGAAAAAATGTGTATATATATATATATAGAGAGAGAGATAGATTAGAAAATCCTATGAGAGCCTCAAAAATACTATTAGCTTTATGAGTAAACTTAGTAAAATGGCAAAAAACCAAGATCAAAATATGTACTCACGTGAAAAAAATTGGAAATTTAAAACAATATCATTTAAAAGAGCACCAAAAATATTACCTACTTAGGGATAAGTAAGAGGTCTTATTCCTGCACACAGAAAACTACAAAACATCCACCACATTCAGATATCATAATCATGTCAATTCTCCCCAAATACACCTTAGGCCCAAATGCATGCCCAGTCAAAATGCCAACAGGATTTGTGGAGAAAAAAATGACACGCTAACTAAAATTTTTTATGCAAATACAAAGAACCTTGACTAGTCGAGGCAGCCATGAAAACTGTTGGAAGATTCACACTATCTGATTTCAAGTCTTATGAGAGTAAAGTAATTGAGTGTGTGGTATTGGCATAAACACATATAAATTAGGGAACAGAAGAGTCAGAAATACATTCACATATATCTGGTCAATCGATTTTCAACAAGGTGAAAAGCAATTTAATGAAGGTGGATAGAAGTTTTTCTACAAGTGGTGCTTCCAACAAATGGAAGAATTGGATGTTAATATGCAATACAGATATTCTTCATACCATTTTTTAAAAATAATCAAAATTGGATCATAGATTCAAAGTAAAACCCAAAACTATAAAAGCTCTAAAAACATTTGTGACCTTGGGTTAAGCAAATATTTTTTTAAATACTTTTATTGGGGGCTCTTACATCTCTTATCACAATCCATACATTCCCTTGTGTGTCAAGCATATTTGCACATATGCCATCATTTTCAAAGCATTTTCTTCCCACTTGAGCCCTTGATATCCGCTCCCCATTTCTTCCCCCTCTCCCCTGCCCTCCCAAGCAAAGATTTTGTAGCTACACCAAAAGGAAATCCATAAAAGAAAATTTGATAAGTTGAACATCAAAAATAAGAACTTTTGCTTTTCAAAAGCCTCTGTTCAAAGAATGAAACAAGCCATCGAGTTGAAGAAAATATTTTCAAATATTTTATTTTTTAAAATTGTCATCAGAATGTATGAAGAACTCTTAACACTCAATACTAAAAAGGCAGATATTCCAACTAAAAATGAGTGGAGGCTTTGAGTATATTTTTCTCCAAAGAGGATATGTAAGTGGTCAAAAAACACATGGAAAAAATCTTTGACATTAATCATTGGAGAGATGCAAATCAAGACCACAATGAAATATGACCTGCAATCCACTAGAAAGTAAGAGAGTCAATCCATCTAGTCGAGGGTCTTTTTTTGCCGCCCCTCCACTTTACCAAACAGGATGTCCTTCTTCAGGAATTGGTCTCTCCTAATAATATGTGCAAGTATGTAAGACGAAGTCTTGCCATCCTTGCCTCTAAGGAGCACTCTGACCTTACTTCTTCCAAGAATGATCAGCTTATCTTTTAGCAGTTCAGGGTATTTTCAATATTCATCTCCAGCACAATTCAAATGCATCCGTTCATCTACAATCTTCCTTATTCAATGTCACACTCACATGCATATGAGACAAGTGAAAATACCATGGCTTGGGCCACACATATCTTAGTCTTCAAAGTAAGATCCTTGCTCTTCAATACTCTAAAAAGAGGCCTTGTGCAGGTTTGCCTAATGTAATATATCCTTTGATCTCTTGACTGCTGCTTCCATAAGTATTGATTATGGGTCCAATATAAAACCCTTGACAACTTCAACCTTTTCTCCATTTATCATGAAGTTACCTATTGGTTCAGTTGTGAGGATTTTGGTCTTCCTTACATTGAATTGTAATCATACTGAAGGTTACAATCCTTAATCTTCATCACCAAGTGTTTCAATTCCTCCTCACTTTCAGCAAGCTAGGTTCTGTTATCTGCCTACCGCAGGATGTTAATAAGCCTTCCTTCCAATCCTGATGCCATTTGTCTTCACATAATCCAGCTTCTCTGATGATTTGTTCAGCATACAGGACTGAACCAGTAAGGAGAGGATACAACCCTGACCTACACCTTTCCAGATCTTAAACCACGCAGTATTCTCTTGTGCTGTTCACGCAACTGCCTCTTGATCCATGTAAAAGTTCCTCATGAGCCCAAAAAAGTGTTCTGGAATTCCCATTCTTCTCAAGGTTAGCCAGTTTATTATGGCCCACACAGACAAATGCCTTGGCATAGTCAATCAAACACAAGTAAACGTCATTCTGATATGCTCTGCTTTGATTCAAGAGCCATCTGACTTCAGCAATGACAATCCCTTGTTCCACATCCTCTTCTGAATCCAGCCTGAACTTCTGACAGTCCCCTGTCAATGCACTGCTGCTGTGTTGCCTGCTTGTAGGCATGTCAAAACTTTATATACGATTTTACACTTTAAATAAACAAATTTATTGGTGGTGGTTGTTATCAAGTCCAACCCACTGCGACCCACATATTCAGGATGGAATTGCTCCATAGAGTTTTCATGGTTATAGCTTTTGAGAAGCAGAAAACCAAGCGTGTCTTCTATAGTTTATTGAACATCAGTACACCCTAAGAGATAAACCCGTTTTAAAACTGTTTAGAAAAAAAATAATACTCTTAAAAATACAATATATCAAAATTTGGATAACCATCAAGTCATGCTTTATAGAGACGTTTTTTTAGCTTTAGCTGCTCTATTTTTCTACCAAAGGTATGTAATCAATGTTAAAAGAAGCTAAAAATGAACAGCAAAATAAACAAAGTTCTTAGAATGATGCCAATAAGTCACTGAAATTGAAAACAATAGAAAAGGAAACTTCTCACTACAACTACCCAAGTAAACTCAAAATGCCACTCTATTGTACCTTCGAAAAAGAAAGTGACTTAGGATCCATCCCTTCTTTTAAGTTCTTGATCCTGGGAAGTGTGCCAGGTATGACCTCATTATTGTTTAAACTTTTCATTGTGATCAGAAATAACAGAGCTCCTAGAAAAACTGAAAGTTAGCTTTTGTGGTCATATAAACTCATAATCATCTTATTTTCTGTTTAAGGACTAGATATTGTGATGTGTAAGGCATTATGAACATTAACCACCACGCCTTTCCTAACAGGAGGCCTTTCGTCACTTGGCTTTTTAAGGTGACCAGACATCCCGATTTTTAACAATTTTTCCCACGCCCCGCAGCATTTTTAAAAAGTCCCGATTTTTGGAAAGAATGCATAAGCTAGGGTATACGGTTTTCGGCTGCCAGGTGGCTATTTCGCCAGGATATGAGTTTTATCAATGGTGTCCCGCTTTACCAATGCTAAAATCTGGTCACCTTACTTCTGATGAGGTCTACGTAATTTGTTTCTCAGAGCCAGCCTCCTTTTAACAAGGAAGAACCCTGTAGGACTGAGTCCTCCCTCCCACCTGTCTGCCTTCTGGAATGGCTTCCCAAGTCGTCCTATTCGAACCCTTGTCACAATTCCAGCCTGGCCACTAGGGGCCCAGCTGGCAACACTTTCCTAACTTTGATCGACTCCATTCGAGTCGATGCCGACTCTCAGTCGACCCTATACGGCAGGGTAGAACTGCCCCATGGGTTTCCGAGACGATTACAACGGTTTGAGAGTACAAAGTCCCATCTTTCTCCCGCAGAACGGCCGGTGCTTTTGAACTGCGGACCTTACGGATCGCAGCCCAATGGTAACCACTAAGCCACCAGGGCTCCTTTTTCTAACTTTGGGGACCATTATTGGGCGCTGAACTTTTCTGGCTGTTGAGGGAAAGGAGGATCAGGGCTTTTCCAACAGTTTGCAAGCCTTCAAGCTCAGAGCCACCCGAAGCCCACCCTTAAGGAGCAGAGGAAGCTACTCGTCGTTTGAGCCTGTTGTAGACCTACTGCAGCCGCGGCTACCCCACCCCGTCAGCCAGGTGCCTGCTGCCTCGACCCCCAAGCGGGGCTGGCAAGCCTGTCCCCCGGAAGCCCCGGGGCCCGGGTCAAGGCCGGGCAGGGAGCTCCGCAGGCCGTCACGGGCACCCCCGCTCCTCACTCGCAGGGCCTTCGGCTACTCCGCACCGCGGGAGCGCCCAGCCCAGGGCGCGAGGGCCGGGCTTCCCGTCGGGCTGCGGCGAGACAGAGAGCCGGCCGCCGGGCCTGCTGCCCAGTCAGCTCGAGCCGCCTCTTTGGAATGTGGCAACATTCCGTCCTCTGTCTCCCGGAGCCGCGGGGCCCTTCCGCCAGGCCGGCCAAAACCGAACACCCGACCCGCAGCCATCAGTCTCCCCAGCGTTTCCAAGGCTGCGGGCCGACGCGGGACGGACGCCAAGGCTCGTCTTTCTCCAGCAGAGCGGCTGGTGGGTGACAACTGCGGACCTAGGACAGGGTTAGCAGTCCCACGCTTAGCCCACTGCGCCACCAGGGCTCCTCAAAAGGAAAAAGGGGTCCGAGCTCCGCCACGGGCGCGCTCTCGCGTCCCCGCCAGACGGAGAAGGAACGTGCAGGCCGCCTGGGGGCAGCAGCGACTGGCAGGAAGTGCGGCGGTGCGTCGACCACGCGGTTGTACGCCCAGCTTCTCCGTGACGGGCAGCTGTTCCGGCCAATAGCAGAGCACGTCGGCGCCCCGCCCCGGCGTCCCCCGCGGCCGTCGAGGGGCGGGTCCTTCCCTCGGCTGCGGACCGCGGAGGCGGTTGCTTCCGCTCCGCGTGGCCCGCCCGCCTTCCTTCAACCTGCCTGAAGCGCAGCTTTCCGACTAGCGGCACTGGGAATTGGCCGCACCTCCTCCCCACTCCGGGAGCCCCGCTGGGGCAAGTGGTCTGGAGGGGGTAGCGGGGAAAGGGGCGCCTTGGAAGGGCGAGTGTTTGGAGGTGTTTCTGGTAGGGACGACCCAAGAAGACTAAGACTTTGCGGAAAATGTTAGCTTAAGTGCCCTAAAGATGTTTTTAGCCCCCTGAGGTGTTGCTCGGGGTGGGGGTGGGGGTCCATCTGTGACGTTGATGTTGGTTCATGGTCGATCAACATATGAACCAAAACAAGCCCAAACGCACTCCTGTCGAATCGATTCTGGCTTATTCACAGTTAACCCTATAGGGCAGAGAAGAACTGCCCTTCAGAATCTCCAACACTATCGCCAGGACTCCTGATCTTTCATTTTACTCTTTTTGTTTCATTCAGCGATTCATCTAGGGCGGGGGTGGGACACGGAGGGTGTCCATTAACAAACATACTGATCACTGAGACCCACCCTAGACCTATTGAAAATGAATCCCTGAAGGTGGGCCCTTCGTTGGGTTTTTGGTTTTTGTGTAGGGGGGGGGACGGGGACACAAGTATTAATCCCCAAGAGATTTTGCTGCAAACCATTGTCCTAGCCCGAAAATGATGAGGCTGTTTTCCAAATTCGCTTTATAACCCCACTCTCTGACCTGTGAGTTTTTAAAAATGATTTTCATTTTCCTGGAAGTATTGGTGGCCACTAAGATGATGGACCAACTCCTTAAATGCTTCTTCTTTTCGAAGTACACATAGTGATATTCCAACCGTCTGAAGGGACTTTTGTACTCACAAGCCATTTAAAAACCAGCCAGTGAGTCTCCTTTCTCTTTCCCAGTGAGAACGCATGAGTCATTTGCAGACCTTGCTGCTGGACAGCCTCTTGGGCACGAAGCATGTGGACAGTGCGGCCCTCATCAAACTCCAGGAGCGGAGCCTGTGTGTGGCATCCCCAGGATTTAGTGTAAGAACAAGCCTGGCCATGAGTATTTGAAGGGAATGTTTCCATTAAACAGCTCTGTGGTTGATGCTTGAGGCTTGTTGGCCACATCGTTTCTATCACAACTACACAATTCTGCAGATGTGATACGCAATATGTAAAAGAATGGTGTTGGCTTTGTGTACAGATGCTCGATTTTGAAGTTCACATCATTTCGAAAGATATTCTCTTGATTTTTTTTTCTTTTAGCTTCTTAAAGACGTGAAAACCATCCCTAGTTTCATGCTCTATGGAAGTAGGCAGTGGACCAAATGTGGTCTGTTGGTCATAGTGTGCTGACTCTGGTCTCACTCTTTAACCTCTGCAGGTAATGCCCAGTGATGTTCAAATGCTTGTGAACGGATTCGCCAAGAACCCTTTACTAACCCGAAGAGAAGGCTTATATTTCAAGGAAAATGATTACAAATGTGTCCGATCGGATGATTATTCTCTTTATGCTAAGAATGTGAGTAGACAGGGTTTGAAGAGAACTGGATAAGAATCTTAAGAATTTGATTCTCGTTTTTTTAAATAAATCGTTTTATTGGGGGCTCGTACAGCTCATCACAATTCATCCATCCATCCATTGTGTCAAGCACATTTGTACATAATGTTGCCTTCATTTTCAAAGCATTTTCTTACTACTTGAGCTCTTGGTATCAGCTCCTCATTTTTCCCCTTCCCTCCCCCTCCCTCCCTCCTTCATGAACCCTTGATAATTATAAATTATTATTATTTTGTCATGTCTTGCACTATCCAATGTCTCGCTTTACCCTCTTGTCTGTTGTCCATCCCCTCTGAGGGGGTTATAGGTAGGTCATTGTGATCGGTTCCTCTTTCTCCCCCCACCTTCCCCTTACCCTCCTGGTATGGCTACTCTTAATATTGGTCCCAGGGAGCTTATTTGTTCTGAATTCCCTGTATTTCCAGCTCTTATCTGTACCCATGTACATGCTCTGGTCTAGCCAGATTTGTAAGGTAGAATTAGGGTCATGATAGTGGGGTGGAGGGAGGAAACATTAAAGAACCTGAGGGAAGCTGTATGTTTCATCCATGCATACTGCACGTTGACTGGCCCATCTTCTCCCCACAACCCTTCTGTAAGGGAATGTCCAATTGCCTCCAGATTGACTTTGGGCTTCCACTCCGCACTCCCCCTCATTCACAATGATAAGATTTTTGTTCTGGGTCTTTGATGCTTGATACCTGATCCCATTGACACCTTATGATCACACTGGCTGGTGTGTTCTCTTGTTTTCTTTGCCCTTCTGAGAATTCACTTACTGTCAATAAGTCGATTCCAGCTCATATTGACCTTATAGGTCAGAGTGGATCTTCCCCTGTCAATTTCTGAGCCGATGACATCCTTACAAGAGCAGAAAGCCTCATGGAGGGGCTGGTGGGTTCAGACCACCATGCTGCCAGTAAGGCAGCCCAGTGCCCACCGAAGGGCCTTTGCCCTCCTGATACAATCTATAAAGCAGGTGAAGGTCATTCATTACTACCTCCACGCGATGTCTGAGAGAGCAGTCTAGTCCCAGAAGGGCCTATGTGAAAGTACTTTTAGAGAACCTGGTTTGGGGAAGTATTCGTTCTAGACCAGTAGTTCTCAACCTTCCTAATGCCGCGACCCTTTAATACAGTTCCTCATGTTGTGGTGACCCCCCAACCATAACATTATTTTTGTTGCTACTTCATAACTGTAATTTTGCTACTGTTATAAATCAGGTGATCCCTGTGAAAGGGTCGTTCGACCCCCTCAAAGGGGCCAAGACCCACAGGTTGAGAACCACTGCTATAGACTCGTTTATCAGCTGCCTACACTGGCTTTTACTGCTCCAGTCCATCGTTCATCCTCTACAGCCTTCTCTTAAAAGAAAAAAAAAAATTATATATATATATATCACGCCTGTGCTCAAAATCTGTTTCCCTGTTGCCACAAAAGAACTTAAAATAGGCAAAATTCACTTGTATTGGCTCCCCTATATGGATTAAAGGAGACCACGTGGGTATGTAGTGTGTTATTCATTGGGCTGCTAACCACAAGTTCTGCGGTTTGAACCTACCAGCTGCCCCATGGGAGAAAGACTTTCTGTTCCCTTAAAGATTGACAGCCTCAGAAGCATCTCAGAATCACCCCGGGGCGGGGGCTGTTCTACTCTGTGCCAAAGGGTGACTGTGAGCCAGTATGGACTGGATGGCTGTGGAGTGGGAGTGGGGCTTGGGCATACTTCATCCACATCAGAAATGGAGTAGCCTCACTTTATAGATTAGCAGAGTTTGACAAGGTTACATGACTCTTTCTTTGTCACGCAGACCAAGCCCATGGCCATCGAGTTAGTTCCTATTCACAGCAACTTCTCATTGGGCGTCCGGGGCTGCAAGTCTTTCTGGGAACAGACAGCCTTATCTTTCTCCCAAGGCAATGGGCAGCAGGTAGATTTGAACCGCCAACCCTGCAGTTAGCAGTGGGATCCTTGCAAAAGGAAAAGGAGGTACTGGAATTACTACATTCCAAAGTGGATTATCTTTCCTTGTCAGGATGTGTTGGCATGGAGACGGGGCTATACCACAATCCACATGCTGTTAGGTCAATAGTTTGAAACTCTGAGTAAAGACAACTTGATTAGTGGAAAGGAGTGGAGAGTCAGACATGACTATGAATACATGAAAGTCAAGAAATGGCAAAAACTAAAGCATCACTTCTGGTCCTGTGAGGGGGACCAAGAGGAGGGCATTCTGTTTCCATTTTTGTGCAGGAGAACACCGGGGTGGTGATTGTGAAGACCCGTCTGTACCTTCTGGTGGCAACTTACACTGAGGGCATGTATCCTAGTGTCTGTGTGGAGGCCACAGAGAAGCTAGGTAAGTTGTATTCGTTTCCTCAGGCTGCCGTAACAAAACATCACAAACTGGGGTCTAAGCGGCTTTACACACACACACACACACACACACACACACACACACACACAGTTGGATTCCAAAATCCAACTTTTGGATTTGGGTGCTGGCAGTGCTGTGCTTTCTCGGTCTTGATGCAGAACAGGCAATGCATGTTTGATGAACAAATTAATTACCGCAGGCCAGCAGAGTCAGGGAAAGCTCCAGGGAGCTGACTCTTAAAGGATTGAGAACTCAAGTACCATCACAGAAACAAAATATATTCATAGTAATGTGTATATTTACACACTTACCAGGTTCCATACATTGGTCCCTGGAGGGGATTGCTGTATGCCATGCTGCACAGCTGCCAGTGAGGTATTCTGGAAGCAAACAGGACAGAGTTGGAAAAGGCACAGTTTAGGAAATAAAATAGGTGACCTCCAACCCAGAAAAGACAGGATATTACAGCTATCTAGAACCCTTTCCATGGAGCCTGAGTGGTGGTGTGGGGTTTAAGTGGGCGGCTAATTGCAAAGCTAGCAGTTCAAAACCATCCGTTGTTCCGCAGGAGAAAGATGAGGCTTTCTAACCCTGAGAGAGTTGCCATCTCGGAAACCCACAGAGTAGTTCTACCCTGTCCTGTTGTCACTGAGTCAGAATCTTCTCCATGGCCAGGAGTGAGAGCTATGGTTGAGAAGCCTTTCTGAGCCAGCTGATAGGATGAGGCGGAAGTTTGGTTTCAGTGAGCGTAGAGCCAGATCAGGAAGCAAAGCAAACGAGTAGATCCAGAAATGACACTAAAGAGATGGTTTGTTCGTCTGGGTTGACTAGAGAAATAAATCCAGAGACATATGTGTTTAAGAAAGAGCTTTATAGAAAGAGCAATTGTATATTAAGAAAACATCCCAGCCCAGTCCAAATCAAGTCCATAAGTCTGATCTTAGCACATATGTCCTATATCAGTTTGTAAATTCAGAATGTTTGTAACAGAATGCAGGACGATCACAGGCCAGTGTGTGGAAAGTCTTGTGGATCCAGTGGTGGTGGAAGCATCTCAGCACTGGCGTGGGTCTCCACGTTGCTCTTCCAGCTCTAGGGCTCTGGCTCTTTCAGCGTAGCTCCATGTGGCTTGTCAACAGGAATGTCTCGCAGGGAGAAGAAGCAGAGAGACAGGGTATCTGGCCTCCAGTGAGCTATTTATCTCCATCACGCCTCTAAATGAGGTCATCAAGCTGTGACCTGATGACAGACTAAACTCCACCCCTTTGCTCTTAATAGCCTCAGGTTGACACCAGATAATGTAATGACCACAGATGGGCAGTGAAGTTGTTCAAAAGACCAGATTGTGGAGTCAGATGAGGCCCAGGACTGAGTCCCTAAGTCACCTATGGAGACAAGATTTCAGAGGACCAAAGACTGCAGATGTGGCCAGAGAAGATGGCTGACCCCTGTAACCAAGGGCCAGCCTGGGCTGGCACAGAAGGCGAAGCTTCTTGCTTAGGGACACGAAGGTTTACTAGTTAGAAGGACACAGCTGCCATCATGCTGCCTCGGATCCCACTGCTCTGAGAAGGGCAGGCTGTCTTAGCAGTGGTTGGATGCTCGTGAGGGTGAAACGGGCCACCGAGGACGCAGCTCCTTATCCCATTACTTCTCTTCCCTTCCTATATTTCCTTTCAAATCTATTTTTTCTATTAAAAATGAGGTGTAATTATTATAGAAAAGTTGGCAACTATTTAAATAACTTATTATGCAAGACTCTAGAAGTCATGACTGTTTATTAAAGAAAACTTTAAATCAAGGAGTACAGGGAAAATGCTCTGCTACTTCCCTCACCCAAAATGACCAGGTTTGTTTTTAAATCTGTTTTCATCTTAGTGAATCACATGTTTTGGTAAAATGGTAACCAATTTAATTCTAAGTCCTAAGTTTAAAAAACAAAGTAAGCATATGGACAACAGTTTTCGTCTTAGAAGCTTTTTTAGTGACTTCTTTTGAGTAATGTTGAATTATGAGAGGACCATGAATATTTTTCTTAAATTTTGTATGATTTCTCTATAGCATGAATCTGAAGGATAGAAGCCAACCAAGTTTCCTAGTTGCTTTGCTTTAAGAGTTGGCTCGTGTCTCACTGAATCCCTGTCCTAAAGATATATAGAGCTAAAGATAAAAAGAGATCGATGTGGTTAATGGTTTCGGTGTTGTTCATTCTCATGAGACTCTCATCCAGGACTGTATTTCTGAATCGATGGGGAAATGTAATTCCTTTTACAGAATTTGCCTCACAGCTGACTTGTCAGGAGTCCACTTCTTTTGCCCTTTAGTTGGTGGCTGCTGTCAAGTTGGCCCCAGTTCCTGGGGGAAGCACTCCCTGATCAATCCTGTGCCATCCCCATGATTGTTGCAGATCAGACAATGTTCCATTGGGAGCAGGGTCTCTGTTGGCTAATTTTCAGGAGAGGATCGCCTGGCTTTCTTCCTGGTCTGATTCTGGAAGCTCTGCTGAAATCTGGTCAGCATCAGAGTAACACACAGTGCCCCCCAGGGACTCAAGTGGTTGCTGTGCATAAGGTACATTTGCCAGGAACCAAACTCCGTCTCCCCTGAGGGAACTGAGATTTCTACTACCGAACCACCAGGATTGTTCTCCTGTCACTTACTACACCCCAGTTCTCCCAGAATAAGGTGCCCTGGTGGTACATTGGGAGTGAGCGTGTGGGGCTGCCAACTGGAAGGCCAGCCGTTCAAACCCACCAACTGCCGCAAGTGAGGAAGATGAGGCAGCCCACTTGCATAGAGATTTGCATCCTCAGAAACCTCCGAGAGCAGTTCTACTCTGCCGCGTAGGGTCACAAGGGGTCAGAACCCGCTGGACAGCAGTAGGTAGGGGTATCTGCCAGAGTTTCCGTGGGTTATGAGTGCAATAAAGAACCGCCCGTTAAGTAATATAAAACACTCAGTGTGGGCTCAAGCAGAAAGCAAATGTTTTGAGAATGATAATGGCAACAAATGTACAAATGTACTTGACACAATGGATGGATGGATGGATTGTGATAAGAGTTGTACGAGTCCCCAATAAAATGATTTAAATTTTTTTAAAAACACTCGATTTAAGGAAAGGATTAGTGTAGATGAATTAAGCGTTAGCTTTCAAAGTTATTATGATGAATAGCTTATTGGAAATAAAGCATTGTAACCAGATTGACATCTAGGTCACAGAGTGCACCAGGAAAGGAGCCATCTTTTGTTGTCTGCCCACCCCCCCACCAAGCCCTTTGCCCATATGCATCCCTCTGCCTTTTCTTTGCCCACAGAGCCTGTCCACAGGACAGTATTCGGGTCCACAAAGACTCTGTCGTGGCACTGATCGTTGTAAAATACACAATTGATGCTTGCAATTCTCTCCTCTACTGGAGAAGAGCCCTGTGAGGGAAAGGCCTATTCTCCACTATCTATCTAGTCATTCTTGTATCACTAGGACCTAGCCCAGGGCCTAACACACAGTCAATTCTGGTGTAGTGTAAGTAAATGGATGACAGAAAGCAATATAAATAATAAAAGAATGAATCATAATGGTAAATTACTCTCTTTTTTTTCCCTCCCAGGAGACTATTTAAGAAAAAAAGGAAGCTGAGTCATTAAACAACTTTGAAAGAAGGTCTTTATTATTAAAAATAATAATAATAACGAGCCTAAATAAAGAATGACTCTTTCTTTGTAGGCTTCTTTTTCTTTATGTAGGAACTTAAAATTCGGGTATACCAAATTAAGCCAATTCCTGGGGAAGAGAGAAAAATCCACAGTAAGATTTTTTAAATGCTAGCATTGTGTGGGCTAGGACAGAACCAAGAGAATCACTTTGTACAAATGAGACGACTCAAGGTGTCTCCTCATTGACCGTTCAACTGAAAAGGATGTATTTCATTTCCAAAGTGTGGCTCTTATTGCAGAAGTTCATAGGACAAACTAACACATTTTCCAGCAAGCTGAAATCCATGAGGAGTCACCATCCTTGGCTTCTGACTCAATGTCCCTTGTCAAGGAGCTCCCCACTGGTAGACAGTCTCTCTCCCCTGATTTGATGAGCCTGTAGACCCACCACAGCTTCATCCACCTGGGAGTGGAGAGATGTGGGAGATGGTTTCCTCCCCCACACCCCCACTTCTCCTTCAACTTTATTACCTATTAGCTTTAGCCTCCTTGGGAGATGTTTGCTTACAGCAATTATTCAGGGGTGGGTGTTTGTTTATTCTTTAGCATAAGGCCTTATTTTATGAATGACAGCAGTAGGCAGAAGATACTGTAAAGGGACACTCGTTACTAAAAGTGACAGTGACTTAAGGGAGCAGCTTGTCTTCGAGAGTTTGCTGTTTGAAGAATAGATCATTTTCACGGATCTGAGAGCACTGGTAGTTTCATCGGGTATGTCTGTGGGACCAGACTGCCCTTTGTGAGGCTCAGGTGCTCCTACCCACCTTGCTGGTTCTTGTCAGAATGTTAGGCTATTTCTCCAGGTTATATTTTAACAGCCAATCTTGAAGAATGAAGTAATGTCTTCAGGACAAAATGAAAGTTTTCACCAACTGCGGTCAAATTGAATCTAGCTCAATTTGAGGGGGAAAACTTCCTCCTAGTGTTTCCAAGGCTATAAATCTTTACGGAAGCGGACTACCATGTACTTTCTCCCAACAAGTGGCTAGTGACTTTGAACTGCCAACCTTCCATTTAGCAGCCAAGAGCTTAACCACTGCATAATCAGGGCTTCTTCGGCATTTGTTATAAAAGACATAAATTCCATGTGTTCAGTGTTTTTCTCCTGAAATGCACCTCACTACATGAGCTACACCCTCCACATCACCCCTGTAGGATTTGGGGGCAAGGGGAACCAAGACAATAAATAGTCAATGGATAGTCCACATGCCCCATCATCTGCAGATGCCTCCTTGAGTGTTGCGGTGGCTTTCTAAATCAGGAACTCCAAAACACTTAAGTCTCTTACCTCCCTCACCTCCTCCTAGTTTATATAATTTAGTAAAGGCAGTCTGATTACAGAATATGATCATCCTCAGAATTCATCTTCTCCTGGTCAGTATGAGGGATTGAATTGTGGTGCCCCCAACCCCCAAAAAAATATGTCAACTTGGCTGAGCCATGCTTGTCAGTATTATGTAATTACCCTCCGTTTTGTGACCTGATGTAATTATCCAATGTTCTATAAATCCTCTCACCTCTAAGAAGTCAATGAGGTAGGATTAAAATCTATAGGATTAGGCTGACTTTTGCGTTCATCTTTTTTGATAAGAGAAGCAAGCCGAGATCAGAGGGAGTGATTCCTGCTCTTTTCCTCTGCCTCAGTACCATAGCCTGGCAAAATAATCTTACGGCCTAACAATTGCTTTATAAGTAGAATAAAGTCAAACCTTGCACCTATCTCAGTTCGTGACATTATCAGGTAGCAAGGTGCAATATTCTGATGTCTGGGATAAAGGTGTGTTTTGTAGCACTAATCTAAGTCTGCTAGTGTCAGGATTTGTTTACCCTTTAAAGGTGCTTGCTTCTAAAATCATACCTTTTCCGAGCTTTTGTGACAAGGACCCCAGTGTGTCACATGTGTACCTCTAGACCCCTTCCTATCATGTGCACACCCCTAACTCATCCCCTTCCTATCACACTTATGCCTATTGTACATCCCCTTCCTGTGATGTATGTGCCTATTGTGCTGCCCCTTCCTGTGACGTGTGGTTACCTGTAATCACGCCCCCTAAATAGATCTAAGCCTTGGTTATCAATAAACGGGGTCTCTGCCCCACCTCACCTCACGGCCCACACTATGCGCGGACCTGGCTGGTAGGATGGCCATCCAGGAAGTGAGTATACTACCATGAAATGTGTCTGACCTCTTTATTTTACTCTCTCTCCTATCTCTCATGCTCTATGACTTTATTGTAATCTTTATATATCTCAACCATACAATTGCGCCTACCAGACCTGTGATTAGTTGTGGGGGGCTGGCCTTTCCCCCCCACACCCCAGATCTGGTAGTGGTGGTCAACCTCATCACCCATCCATTCATTTAATTAAAGTCAAATAAATTACACTCAGCATTCATTGAGTAGTCTATAAAAGTAAATAATTACATGTGCTCTACTCCAGATAGGTCTGTAATCTAGCAGGGAAGATAAATTTGTAAATGAGTCACGTTACCATGTGATGAATATTGTAATATATGAAACAAATATGAAGAGTCTGGAGCAACTAACTGTGCCTTCCCTCTGGAAAGGGAAATGGCATTTGAAGTGAATCTGAAAGCATGCCAAGCATGTGTTTGTTTTTCAAGTGTAGAAGAGAGCAAAGAGCATTCTAGATTCAAAGCACAGCACAGGCAAAGGCACAGCATCGTGAACTGTCTCGTTGTGTAGAAAGCATGGTGAGAAGTTCAATGTGGTCCCAAAAGTAGAACGTGTGAGGGAATGAGCAATGAATTGGGAAGACGGTTAGGACCAAAGTGAAGAGGTCTGCTTTCTTCAGGGTCAAGGGCATCAAGCAGTGTTGTGGTGTGGGCAGTAATAGTATAAACGTTTTACACTGTATTATAAAATTTTGTATTTGCAAAAGTAATACCTCACTGCATAGAGGCAGCAATTAGCTTTCTCATTCCTTGGGGTCACCTTATTGCTAGGTGGTATCCAGTCTGTTCCGATTCACAGCGACCCTATGTACAACAGAACAAAGGCCAGCCCGGTCCTATGCCATTCTCTCACGGATTCTTATGTTCGAGCCCATCGTCGCAGCCACTGTCCATCCATCTCGTAGAGGGCCTTCCTCTTTTTCACTGCCCCTCCGCTTTACCAAGCGTGATGTCCTTCTGCAGGGACTAGCTCCCGATAGCGTGTCCAAAGGACGTGAGATGACGTCTCACCTTCCTTGTCTCTAAGGAGCATTCTGGCTGTGCTTCTTCCAAGACAGATCTTCCTGCTCTTTTGGCAGTCTGTGGTACTTTCAGTATTCCTCCCCAACACCATAGTTCAACCACATCAACTTTTCTTTGATCTTCCTTATTCAGTGTCCAACTTTCACACACACAGGCCATTGAAAATACCATGGCTTGTGTCGGGTGTATTTTAATCCTCAAAGTAGCATCCTTTTCAACATGTTAAAGCGATCTTGTGCAGCAGATTTACCCAATGCAATGAGGTATGCAGGGGGTGATGAGTACAAGAGTAAAGAAATGTTCTAAAATTGATTGTGATGACTGCACAACTTTTTTAATATATTGAAGCCATTCGATTGCAACATGAGTGATATGCCAATAAAACTTTTTTTTTTAAGTGATACATAACCCAATCCCAACCTCCTTCCATTGCCTGGATTCATGGTGACCCATCTGAAGACTGTCCATCTCTTCAAGAGCAGATAGCCCCATGGTTCGTTCTTGGAGCTGCTGGGGAGTTTGAACCACAGTTTTTTTTTCTTCAATTCTTTTATTAGGGGCTCATACAACTCTTATCACAATCCATACATACATCAATTGTGTAAAGCACATTTGTACATTCCTTGGAACCACAGATTTTTTGGTAAGCAGCGCAACACCAAATCCACAGCACATGAGAGCTCCTTAAAGTAATACATATTCATTTAAAAAAAACCTGGGAAAAATAAAAATTACTCATCATTTCACACTAAATGAAAACTAGTGTTGATAGTTTGGTTATTTTCTTGCAGTATTTTTTCATTTATATAATATAAGGAGGCTTCAAAAAGTTAACGGAAAAATGGAGATATAAGAAAATGGCATTTTAAAAAACTTTTTGAAGTGCCCCTTACATTTGAAGCCCCCATACACATTTTAACTTAACCTAGATCACTGATACATATGGTGCGATCTCTTACTTCATTCACTTAGCATAATGGTATGAGGCTTTTTGAATGTAATTGAAATCGCTTCCAAAACATTTTTCAGCATTGCGTAATACCACATAATATAAATATGCCATTCCTTTCTTAGATATTTAGATTTTTAACTTTTTCATATCCTAATATGTTACAGTTTATATTTTTTACCTGACTCTTAAGCTTTAATTATTTCTTTAGATCTGGAAGCACTACTATAGGAGAAAAGATTCACTCTTAAAGTTTCTGGGGAGCTTTTCAAACAAGGAAGGAGTTGTACACTTTGGTTTCCAAGTAACAGTTGGGTTTTATTATTATTATTATTATTTTAGCAGTTGGGTTTTGAGATGGGAGGAGGCATCGCATCTCCCGCCTCTAACTCATCAGCTTGTGGAGTTGGGTCTGTGTGCACCTGTGGGTCAGAATGAGAGAAAGGGTGAATTGGCTAGATCAAAAACTGGAGAGGCAGGTTTGCATGATGGTACTAACTCATGCTGACTTAGAGCAATTACACCAGTACCTTGCCATTGATCCAGAGATGCTCAAGCAGCATGCTGGGCAAACAAGGAGGCCTGTATGGATTTTGAGCCACACCTCCAACAGCAGACAGACATGGCAAGGTGGCAAGCCAAAAAGAAGGCCGTGCCATCAGTCCTTACATGAGGTTACCCCCAAATGCCTATGAATGAGGAAACTATGACTGCCCTCAAAAAGTTATATTGTCATCAAAACAATGGATAAGAGCAGATGCGTGCAAAGAATCGTTTTCAGGTCTCCACAAAGGAACATACTGTACTGCCACACTGCTCAGGAAGGACTCACCGGAGCAA